GGAGAAGCAACCGGAGGGGGGGTGGGGGGTGTGGGAGGGGTGGTGGGGACAGTTCTGACGGAGACAGGAGGCGCTCCAGACAACGCTCTATCTTGTAGGCCGCGGGGAACGACAACAAACATGGGGCCTCAAGTGAAACCAGATCTGCCGTGATGGTGATCAGTCAGCCGACCTGTGGAGACACGCCCATCAGCTTTAACACCACACCAGGCCTCAGCCCTGACTGAAACGTGTCACCACATTTGTCCTAAAAATGTCTCATCTGAAGTCTGGCCCAGCGGCCAATCATTGGACTGCACTACCCCCCCCCCCCCCCCCCCCCCCAAGACCATGAAATACACCCTTTTCTTTAGGTATGGGACAGTAGGAAGTGGTTAGTGCTCCTGCCTTACAACAAGACCACTGGTTTGTGAGGTCAATCTGTAGCTTTCGTGTGGATCTAACATGTTCCTGCGTCTGTTTGTCTTCAATATGCAAAATTGAAGATGAAGTCATTTTTCATATATTGAATTATTCATATATAGAAAAAGCTGTTTCTGTATATAAATACTACAGTAATACTACACTATACTACTATACTCTCCCCATTCTTAAATTAACAACAATTTTAATAATATATTTGTAATTAAGTCTTGGGTTTTTTTTTCCAAAATGTCTGCTTCCTGACTACTTTGTTTCTCGCTTTGAGAGGAAAAATAAATTCATTTCTGAGCACAACGGGCCAACATCACTGGTTAATGTTTCTCAGCTACATAAAATAGTTCAGAAAAAAGAAAACATTTAAAATCTAACTTCTGAGATGATCAGTTTAAACTAGGAGTCCTGAAACCTAAGAGAAGGAGACGAGGTAAAAGGAGACGAGGAGACAGACGTCATTTCTTTTCTCTCAGAGCTTGCACAGCGAGCACCAAGAGAAGACCCTGCTTCTGCGAGGAGCTGCCTTAGCGACTTTATTTACAATTCACAAAAACGCAGGTGTCGCTGTCACACAGTGTTCAACATTTTCACCTCAAAACTTCATTCATTTTATTTTTTAACCCACAACCAGTTTCCTCTCCCGTCTTTGGTTCTCCGACATTCACAGTAAGCTCTACAGGAGGAACTCTTCCTACTCATGTCAGCCGATCCCTCTGCCTCACACACACACACACACACACATTCTGCATATTGTTAAAATATTTCAGCTTTTCCTCTCTGCCAGTAGCGTGCGTTCTTTGATATAAACCTGCTTCAAACACACTCGATGCAAAGCTGGTTAGTATTTTGTGAGGGGGGGGGGAGTTGTTCACACTGAGCCATATTTATATCATAATGACATTAGGTTCCTGCTTTATGGCTTTTAAACTATGCATCATCTCTATAAACCCAGTGTCTTCTTCACTCGTTGTGCGTCGTATTCATGGCGGCTGGAAGAAGGCGTGTTTACAGGTCGATTCTTCACGTCGTCCGATAACTGATGATGTCATAAGTGCTGGGATGTTATTCGACTTACAGTGGAAAAAAAAAAAATCTGATTAAAAAGAACCAGATTATCGCACTATGAATAACTCCTAACATTATGAACACATACAGTTTGATGTAACGTTAGCTTAAAGCCAAAAACTTTTTTGAAAAGTAATCTCGGCAGAACTAATGCTTTAATATAGTTTGTTTGTATATATATATATTTTTTGCAAAAATAATTTAAATTCTCTGATCAGTCATTTTGACCAGAAACGGCATGACGACAGCTCCTGGTGAATAGTTAATCACATAGGGCGCCATCTGTTGGAAGGGTGATGCTATAACACCAAAAAAAAAAAGAAAAACAGAAGCTTGGACATGTGACTGAGTGTGACCATAAAGTCACCGAATTGGTACGTGAGAAGATGAATAAATATATCGGTGAGAGTCACATGACCAGGACGACGACTGACCGTCGGTGGAACGTTTGTGAATCAGGGAACGGCAGTGGTTTGTCTGATTTTGTCTTTGCTGTTCTGAAAACGTTCTACTCTCTACTTCACCAGAGGCGGTAAGAACAGTTGAAGTGGTTCAAAATGGGGGTTGCCACCCGTACATTCACATTCTGGGCGTTAATGTTTGCACCGCGTCGATGTTTTAGCCTCGCTGCTCACCGACTTCAGTCTTCCTTTTTAAAATATTTACCGTAGCACGGGATTGGCTGGATGTATAATACACAAATACAAACAGCCATATATATATAAATATATGTAAGTGAATATAATCAATCATATTTACTCACATACACTTATATATATACACACATATATGTGCATGTCCATTCATTTATACATACACACATATCCATATATTTAGTAGTTTTCAAATCAGTCAGAAACAAACAAAGGCTCGATGAGGAACTATTCTTCTCCATGTCAACTTCGCTGCGTGCAGGATGTTTAACTGTCCAGACAATAATGGTCCATGAGGGACGGGTTTCACACCGACATCCACCGTCAGAGCCTCTGTCAATGAGACACTTCAGTCCAAATCTGTGGCTGACAGTGTTCGCTCATCGACGTGGCTCCGTCTCTCTCCAGGTCTTAACACTCGCCCTAACCTCCCACTCCCAACACTACCGAAACACCTCCCATCATCTGACTACGCCCTAGCCAATCAGGAGCCAGAGCACCACAGCGCTCTCTGCTGCTGAGGTGAGAGCGTTTGTTGCTGAATGGAAGACCCACTCACTTCAACAAACACCATCGTGAGGTTACAGCGAGAGGAGGCGGGGCTTTATGTAGTGTGATTAGAGTGCCCCCAGTGGACAGAAGGTGACATGGTTTTAATACTGTTCAGGTGTAATGATATCTGAGGGTTAGAACAGCATCACTGTGATGTTGTCAGGTTTTTTTGTGTGTTTTGAATTTTTCTGTTAAGACTTTTTACTGAAATGGTCAGCAATAACTGGGGATTATTTCTGGGATCATCTGGTGGTCAGGCCTTGAAGGATACACCTCATGTCCAACAAAACACGAGGTCGTGGTGCCTTACTTCCACTGGACTAAACGTTACGTTTAACTGTATCTCAGTAACTTGGGCTAAAGTTGACTTTGTGGCATTCAGAGTGATCTTCAAAATATATTTTCAGTTGCTTCCAAAATCAATAACCGCGGTAAGTAAAGGATTAAACCTCATTTCTAACGACAGGGATTTATTTGTCGCCCTCTCTGCTCCCATGCAGCCGCCTCTCGTGCTGCCTCTTGGTGATGATGTATTTGAAGAACTCGTACACAGACCAGCTGATGGCTGTAGACGGCATCTGGTAGATGATGCGGGCTTGGACGCCCTTGAAAAAAGCTGGCACGCCGCCCGTCCTGTACACTGTCCGGAAGGCCTCGCCCAGGCCAGAAATGTGGCGGCTGGGAGCAGGGGGCGCCCCCCCCGCCCCCGCCGCCCCCGCCGCCCCCGCCGCCCCCGCCGCCCCCGCCGCCCCCGCCGCCCCCGCCGCCCCCGCCGCCCCCGCCGCCCCCGCCGCCCCCGCCGCCCCCGCCGCCCCCGCCGCCCCCGCCGCCCCCGCCGCCCCCGCCGCCCCCGCCGCCCCCGCCGCCCCCGCCGCCCCCGCCGCCCCCGCCGCCCCCGCCGCCCCCGCCGCCCCCGCCGCCCCCGCCGCCCCCGCCGCCCCCGCCGCCCCCGCCGCCCCCGCCGCCCCCGCCGCCCCCGCCGCCCCCGCCGCCCCCGCCGCCCCCGCCGCCCCCGCCGCCCCCGCCGCCCCCGCCGCCCCCGCCGCCCCCGCCGCCCCCGCCGCCCCCGCCGCCCCCGCCGCCCCCGCCGCCCCCGCCGCCCCCGCCGCCCCCGCCGCCCCCGCCGCCCCCGCCGCCCCCGCCGCCCCCGCCGCCCCCGCCGCCCCCGCCGCCCCCGCCGCCCCCCCCCCCCCCCCGCCTCCCGCTGCCGTCCCCGCCTCCGCCTGGATGACGTGGATGGCCTGAGCCTCCTGCGTGTTGAGGAGGGTCTTGCACACGTCCAGGGGTGTCGTGGCTGCGGCTGCCAGAGCTCCGGCCAGCGCCCCAGATACGACGTGGGAGGAGGGGTTGTACTGTCTGTGGGGGTTGAGGAGCTCCTGGAGGTACTCGTAGGTCATGAAGTGGAGCGCCTGGAAGGGCACGTTCATGGTCAGCTGGGTGGTGTAGCTGCGGTAAAAAGCAGCAGGGCCCTCGCGCCTCAACAGCGAGCCCACACAGTCCAAAACACCACGGTAGGGAGAGTTGTACATCTGCATCCTCTGTTTCACAACTGAGGGAGAAAAAGAAAAAAAGGGAAATTAAGAATTTATTTTTATTTTTTTCATTTACATAAGTTGAACTAAAAGAACTTTTTTTCTTCTTCAGAAAATCCTGCCTTGATACTCATTACAAACGAGAAATTACTACGTCCTTTAGCTCCACCTGGTGTTCTGGCAGCAGACATGCATCTTGATTTTTTTTTTTTTTTTTTAAAAAACAAATTTATTTTCTTTTACCTTCAGCGGGGTTCATGGCTGCGTCGTGCAGCACCGTAGCCATGCAGCCTGCCACCCCTGAAAACACAGAGAGGAGAACATGAATTATCTGGAATCAGGGCTGTCAAAATAAAAAAATTCTCACGGTAATTTAATTAATCATCTCTGATTGTCTGCTCAAGCAACATTCCTGTGACTCTATCCAGCTATTAAAATGTAAATCCCTCACCGTTAGCGAAGTGGCTGTTGGTCCCAGGGTGAATGGCGTCGCTGAGTGAGAACTTGATCTTCTCATAGCAGGCAAAGTAGAGCGCATGAGCAGGTCCAGCACCGACCGCCAGAACATTCACTCCTCTGATCGGCCGCAACACACCTTCGGTCCGCACGATCTGCCGCAGGGCGTCCATCACATTTCTGTAACGTGCTCCCGGTTCAGGATGTAAGCTCTGCATCCGAGTCTGGGGTGGAGACAAATCAAGAGGACAGAGATAAATTAAATAATCAGTAAAGGATTTTTTTAAAACTGTACAGGAAATCTAAGTCAATTTTCTTAAATTAAAATTGTGAAGTTAAAAAATTGTACATTGTGAAATGATGACACAAAAGAATCTTATCAGTACTTTTCAATGTTAATGAAGCTTTTCACATTTTAAGTTTGGAAAAAATGTCAGCCTTCACCTTGTTTTTCCCACAGGTTGAGAAACGCTGCTTATCACCAGTAAATAATGCAACAACACAGAGAGAGAGCAAAGACCAAGATACAGATCGTGCCTGCGGCTGCCAGAGCTCCGGCCAGCGCCCCAGATACGACGTGGGAGGAGGGGTTGTACTGTCTGTGGGGGTTGAGGAGCTCCTGGAGGTACTCGTAGGTCATGAAGTGGAGCGCCTGGAAGGGCACGTTCATGGTCAGCTGGGTGGTGTAGCTGCGGTAAAAAGCAGCAGGGCCCTCGCGCCTCAACAGCGAGCCCACACAGTCCAAAACACCACGGTAGGGAGAGTTGTACATCTGCATCCTCTGTTTCACAACTGAGGGAGAAAAAGAAAAAAAGGGAAATTAAGAATTTATTTTTATTTTTTTCATTTACATAAGTTGAACTAAAAGAACTTTTTTTCTTCTTCAGAAAATCCTGCCTTGATACTCAGGAACTATTGACATTACAAACGAGAAATTACTACGTCCTTTAGCTCCACCTGGTGTTCTGGCAGCAGACATGCATCTTGATTTTTTTTTTTTTTTTTTAAAAACAAATTTATTTTCTTTTACCTTCAGCGGGGTTCATGGCTGCGTCGTGCAGCACCGTAGCCATGCAGCCTGCCACCCCTGAAAACACAGAGAGGAGAACATGAATTCTCTGGAATCAGGGCTGTCAAAATAAAAAATTCTCACGGTAATTTAATTAATCATCTCTGGTTGTCTGCTCAAGCAACATTCCTGTGACTCTATCCAGCTATTAAAATGTAAATCCCTCACCGTTAGCGAAGTGGCTGTTGGTCCCAGGGTGAATGGCGTCGCTGAGTGAGAACTTGATCTTCTCATAGCAGGCAAAGTAGAGCGCATGAGCAGGTCCAGCACCGACCGCCAGAACATTCACTCCTCTGATCGGCCGCAACACACCTTCGGTCCGCACGATCTGCCGCAGGGCGTCCATCACATTTCTGTAACGTGCTCCCGGTTCAGGATGTAAGCTCTGCATCCGAGTCTGGGGTGGAGACAAATCAAGAGGACAGAGATAAATTAAATAATCAGTAAAGGATTTTTTTAAAACTGTACAGGAAATCTAAGTCAATTTTCTTAAATTAAAATTGTGAAGTTAAAAAATTGTACATTGTGAAATGATGACACAAAAGAATCTTATCAGTACTTTTCAATGTTAATGAAGCTGGACCGCTGTTTGGTTTGAGACTTTTTCACATTTTAAGTTTAATCAGTACTTTTCAATGTTAATGAAGCTTTTCACATTTTAAGTTTGGAAAAAATGTCAGCCTTCACCTTGTTTTTCCCACAGGTTGAGAAACGCTGCTTATCACCAGTAAATAATGCAACAACACAGAGAGAGAGCAAAGACCAAGATACAGACACAGTATGTGTGTGTGTGTGTGTGATTGTGAAATCTTGACAATTCTCCAGTTGTGCAACGTGTAACTTTCCTGTTCCTCATTTTCCTCCAAATGCGTGCATAAAAGGAGAAGAAAGAAGATTTGCTGCCATCTGGAGGCACGCAACAATATCTGCGGCCTCTTGACCCTGGAAATAAATGTAACTGGTGTGGAATGTGACTCTTCATTTGGATGTTTCAAAGAAGTAGTGGTAATTAATGGAGGAGAAATTTTGAAAGTGGCTTTCCTCGTTATATCCTGCATAATAATCTTCTTAAAAGAAATCAAAGGTCCAACATCATTTTAAAGCCATTTATAAACTGCAAGACCGAAAGCAGAAGATAAAACCAACTAGTTCACATTAGGGAACCAGCCTGGTGACTAACATTACTGCTAACCAGTGATAACAGGAAGATGATGTGATAACGAGTGTAAAAACAGCCGATACCTACTGATGTTATGACCCGTTTCATTACAAATTGACGTGGTATTCAGCAGACAGGACAGACGGCCTTTATGTCCTCACATGTGCAGATTAAAATACTGACGTTAACTGACCCATTAGTTCCTGTTTTTGCTGTCGTTAACCGTAGACTTCCACCAATCACTAACGTGTTAACTCAGGTGTTCCCAATGTGTGGGGCAGGGCCCACTGGTGGGAAACAAAGACATGACAGGTGGGGGTCATTTCTCTTATCGCATTATTTGAGGCTATAGGTTTTGATTCATTATCAAATATGACGTTACTTGTTGTTACTTTCTGTTGGATTAATGGATTTAAAAACTGCCTCTTCAGCATTTTTATTGGAGTGACAGGGGCAGGTGGGGCTTGAAAAATCACCACTAGCTCAAAGTAGGGAACGACCAAAAGGTGCATTTGGTTCTTTTTTTGTTTTCTGGTCAGTGTTATTTTCTCATGTGTGATTGGTCGCAATATACTGTGGAGCAGCTGCAGCTTCACAGGACTTCCCCTCAAGCAGCTGTGGCTTTTTACAGCAATGCAGCTAATATTACATGGACAGAGTGGTATACTGATGACATAGACGAAAATCCTGTCCGTGATATCGTCTATTAAAAAAAAAAAAAATCAGTCTTATAGCCATCTCACATGTATAAACATCATGAAGATACCAACTTCTTAGACACAGAGGTTGTTTTTGCAAAACGCCCGACACTTAATTATGCAATCTCTACAGCAGCCTGGAGCTATTTTAAATGCTTCGTTTGTGGAGTGATAGAAAAAGTCACGTGAGGCCCCCGGCCTGACTACCACAATCACTCATGGGATGTATGATACAGGCTAGAACTAATCATTACCAGGAGGAGAAGAGTAACGAGCAGAAAGAGCGAATGACTCACGTCAATCAAGTATGCATTGATAACTTTAGTGATGTTCCTAATCTGTTGTTTGGTTTGCTGCAGACTATTCAGACAAAATAAACAATAGTAACAATTATTCTTAGTTATTCTGTAAGCCACGATTGATGGCGCTGTTTGTGAAGTTTCACAAACTTTTGTTTATTAAAATGCCACTAATATGTCTAAGCACCTGAGTTTACGATAACGTCAGCTTCACCAAGAAGGTAACAGTAATGTTGACCTGATGATCTTTCACCTTTGAAACAAGGAAATATGTTGAGGTTGTTCCCGTTAGTCTGAACTAAGAGATAAGCTACAGAATGAAGGCTTTGTGCCTTATCTGTCAGGGCGTGTGGTTAAATCAAAAGAGAGCAAAGAGTTTAATAAAATAAAGCCTAGTTATAACAACAACCTGGAGGGAAACATATTCAATGCAAACTTATTATTTTTGTGTTTCAGACAGAGCTGTCACAGAAGGACGAAGACTAAAAGAATTAATGGTTTGACTGCAGGAAGTTGGAATGTTTTTCCTGGAAACCAAGGACCACAAAGTGTTTCAGACAGAGCTGTCACAGAAGGATGAAGACTAAAAAGAATTAATGGTTTGACTACAGGAAGTTGGAATGTTTTTCCTGGACACCAAGAACCACAAAGATATCTAGAAATGGGTTGTTTTTTTAACTCTGTTCCTTGTTGTGGTCACAGCAGATTGCTCAACATACAATGTCACATTAATTCTTTACACTTGTGTTCATCACTACATAGAGAAGCTGAAGTTGAAATCTGTCTTGGTTCATAAAGCAGGCAGCAAAACCAGGGTGGTTGTTTGTTTTTTTTTTAACTTTTTTTCATTTGGTGAAAATAAATACTTTGGTAAAACCTACAGGAAACAGCCAACAATCTCTCTGGGAACAACTGCTTACTTTCTAATTTAGCTTTATGTTGTTGAGTTCACAAACAACAATGATATGCTTTGCTGCTGCAACATTGTACCTGCTATGGTCTACATTTATTACTATAACTCAAAGTGAATCAAATAGTGGAGCGTAGGTCTACCCAGGAGCTGAGAGGACAAAATTCAGGCTCCTGACTAGAACCATTTGTGTTAAGCTCAGTGTGACTGAAAATCCACTGCCAATAACCACCAGGGGCCTCAGATGCCTGGAAACTAGATGATCTTTACAGCCTCAGATGCCTGGAAACTAGATTATCTTTATGAACATACAGTAATTCATCGTCCACGCACTCCTGTCCTGCTGTCCAACTATGTTCAACATAACTACTGTGAAGTTCACTGTTGCCTTATTTGTAGAAACCACCTTTATCTTCACAGATGACTGTTGCTCTAGTGACCCAAGTCCCTTTCAGTTAATGATCTCCTCTTTACATTGAACTGTACTCTTTTTCTCTGGCTTTTGCAATTTGAACATGTGATCTTTTTCTGCAATATTGGTACAGAACGCAATTTATTTTTGGAGTAAAGAATACATACATACATGTGTAATTGTAAACTGATAAAATGTACATGTTTGTACCTAAATAGAACATTTCCTGAACTGTATTTAGATGAAGTTAATAGTTAGTCTTCCTTGTAAAAGTTGTACTACTGTTCACCTACTGTCTAACTTTAGACCTTGTTTCCTCCGTGTGAATTAAAGTCTAAAGCTAAACGTGGCTGTGTCTTTTAATACGAATAATGGTAGTTAAAAACGGTGACGAAATTTAAAATTGTTTAACCAGTACCATGAAGAAAAACGCAGATCGAAATGTGTCCGATAACGGAAACACGGACAACACTAGTTTGCTACTGCGGCAGCTTCTGTTTAGTCAAAGTGAGAGGCACTGTATCTGATGCCTCACTCGTTTGTTTGATATACCTCACAAACGGCAAAACTGAAACATAAAGCAAGACATAAAACATAACATATGAAGGGCAAATTTACATAAATTACACAATAGGTCGAATTTCCGCTGTTTGATTAAGTTCATTCTGCGTACTGACCTCTGTTAGCAAGGTTACCGTTAGCACTGGGCTAAAAGGCATGATTTCAGGCCTGCCGTGGTGACGACGGTTTGATAAAAACAGGTTTCACATTCTGGGAGCACATGGTTTCGAAAATACGAAGGTGATACATTCGAATGGTTTTTATACCTTGACACAATCGATGGGATACATGAGGCAGTGCTCCATAATTCCAGCAACGGCGCCCGCCAGCATGTGAGTGGTGGTAGCTGCGCCTTGAGGAAGTCCTTCATAGTCTATATCTGGAGCCTCTACGGAAACGGAGCTCTCCGGCGTGGTTCGGTGTTCTCCTGATATTCTGTGTGAACGACAGGCCACGCACCCTCCCCTGGCTTCCAGGAACCTGCCGCCCAACCATTGAAACTCTGCCTCGGCCGCAGAGGCGCCTGCGATCCGGCCATCGACGCCCGGTGTTTCCATTGACGTTCGCCGGGACAGGAAGCTGCCCGCATCCATCCAAATGTCCAGGAGTTTAGTGTTGATGTGTATGGCGCACCACGACCCGCCAGTCGGTGTTTGTTTCCCGGCGGTGCAATTAATGTCCTGGCCACCTTATGGAGGCCTGCGCGGGTGGTTACTCCCTTCGCCGAGAAAGGGGTCCGACCGGGTGAGCGACCGGGAAAACGTGTCAGTGAATCATTGTACTTGTTCACGGTCATTGGACAAACTAGCTCTCAATCAATAGGGTGCGTTCTCATTGGCCAGTAAAGTCTTTACACGAGGCGGGGAAATAAAAAGGGCGGGCATTGTCAGTAGCAGATAGACAAATACAGTATGTGACGGAATTCAGGACACACGGGTATTGCTTCATACAGGACATTCTGCAATAAAGTGAACATTTTCTGTAAAGTTCATGTTTTGAGTCCTGTCTGGTTTTTAACGTGATATGGTGATAAAACTGAGAGCAACGTCAGAAATTGTTACATAACTGACATCCTCCATTAGGGCCCTTAAAAGGCTTTGATCCACCGAATAGTCACCATGTTGTGTTGACTAACCTACAGAACAAGACAGAACATAACATGTAGAACGCGCTTGCTACATATGTAATAACCTAAAACATTACAAGAAGCTAAAGCTGGTCCTAGCGTCACTATGGAAGTGGAACACTATAGACAGGTTGCCATTCGCATTTTTCACACTCACTGGTGAAAACATACAATACCATGCACATATTATATTATATTATATTATATTACTGTAATAGAGGAGTTACAGTTACGGCACCTAAAGTCCACCAGGTGGCATACACAGCTTTGAATACCTTCTGACACTTATGTTTTACGTCATATATTATAAAACATAGTTTTAATGTATTGTATGTTATTTTTAAATCATATTTGATGTTTTAAAGTAAAAAAACTTTTAAAAAAACAAGGAATCGTGGAATTTACACGTGGCACCCAAACGCAGCAGAAACTCATTTGAGTACGTAAACATGACGTATGACGTTTTAGATGACGTTGGAGTTACAGTTACGGCACCTAAAGTCCACCAGGTGGCATACACAGCTTTGAATACCTTCTGACACTTATGTTTTACGTCATATATTATAAAACATAGTTTTAATGTATTGTATGTTATTTTTAAATCATATTTGATGTTTTAAAGTAAAAAAACTTTTAAAAAAACAAGGAATCGTGGAATTTACACGTGGCACCCAAACGCAGCAGAAACTCATTTGAGTACGTAAACATGACGTATGACGTTTTAGATGACGTTGCCTCAACCGGCCCCGGAAAGATGTGGGATTACGGTTCTTTAGTTCACTTCCTCATCTCCGGCTTGTCTTTAAGATTGTTATTTCCGTAAGGTTTAGGGGAAGAAGTTATTTGTAGCCCACCTATGGAATAAATATATTTAGGGAATATCTCTTTAATGGCGGCGAAGAAGTGTCTCTAGGTATGTAACGGATACACCATTTTAACATACGTTGGATAAAAAAAACCGTCGAAAACGTCCCACTTGCCGGTAACGCTTTTCTCGTGAGAACATTGATTTTTACTGTAACAATATCGTTAGTATCAACAATATTTAGCTAGAGTTAGCTTAAGTTTTATTTATAAATTCTGCCATAAGAAACAAGCTTAACTAAAGGCGAAATTATGTTACAAACAGACTGTAAGTCACCTGATCGTGTTCAAAATTGATTAACCCGTCGGCTACATTTATTTGTTGATTAATCGGTCGAAGCCTAAGTAGTCGACATTTTTTTCGCCTCATTTTAAAAAAAAAAAATTGTTTTTTGTTTGGTTTGTCTGTAGTAGGACAATAAGCCGAAACGTTTGGGTTATTTAACTAAATAAACACTACACAAGGTTTCATTCAGGAAACAATCAACACACTTTTAGTTGTACCTGAATAAAAAATGTGTGTTTTGGAAATTAACTGTTTATAGTAATGCAATAAATTGTGTTTTGTGAACTTAGCTGTGTGCAGGACAACACTCACAGTAGGATTCTGACTGAGCTGGCGGCACCATGAGGTGACAACTGTTTCTTCTTGGATTTCTTCCAAAGTGGAAGATGGCCAGGTGAGAGCCTGAAGTCAGACTGTGATGCCCCTGTGTTTGTTTTTGATTTTATTCCATTAAAGTTTAAGTGACACCTCACTATTTTCTTCCCTCCCTGCAGGATCACTTTGTCCTGCCTGCCGGCCTCATGGCACTGCAGGGTGTCCTCGCTCTCTCTGGGCTGTGCTCCCAGGCAGAAGATGCTGCTGCTGCTCTTGTCCCTCCTGGTCTCCACCCTCCTCATTCTAGGGTTCCGTGACAGACAACTGTGGGGTCCGCAACGTCGGCCGGGCGGAGTCAACAAGTGAGTAAAGGACCTTGATAAAGTGAATTAAAAAAAAAAAAAAAAGTAAATAGAGAGAGAAAATTCACATGATACATGAACTGATCTGACAACATGTGGACATGTCTGGCTGCATTTGTTAGTTATGTTTTATTTTTGTCTGAAAACTAAATTGAAAAGCAAACTGTTTGCTTTTGTAAAAAATATTTGAATATTCCAGTCACGGCTGTTTGAGGCTACTTTGTGATGCATGTCTGGTTCTTGTGTAAAGTTTTATCTGCACAGCTGCTCTTGGTAAACAGGGAGTGATGATAGTGGTGTTTGTGAGACCTGCTGCAGGTGCTGCTGCCTCCAGCATCCAAGTACATGTGTAAATACAAAGATAATCCCTTATTCTGTTTGAGCCTTTCTTTTAGACTTTTATAATCTTTTTTTATATATATATCACATAAACACAGTCGGTCTCTTAATCCTGTGGCTCCTTGAATCTGTGTCCTCTTTTTAAAGAAAGGAATTCTCAACAAAGTGTGATAGAAAAAGTGCACACAATCAAAAATGTCGGCCACTGCAGAGAGCAACGTCGTGCAGGGAGTCGGACCTAAACCTTCGGTGTGAGGTTGCTGTGATCAAAGCTGTGACCACTGTTTGCTCAGATGGAGAGAGCATCTTGGGAGATATTCAGGGTTGTCTGATGAATCCGGTGGCTCTGTGTGTCTGGTCGTTTGTCTTTGGTTCCAGCTTCAGTTCACTGTTCTGTTCTTCTCCAGGTACCTCTCCATTGCAGAGTCCATGGAGGCCACAGATGTCCTGGACCCTACTCTGAATTATGGGATCGTGGTGGACTGCGGCAGCAGCGGCTCCCGGGTCTTCGTGTACTACTGGCCCCCCCACAACGGTAACCCCCACACCCTGCTGGACATACGACAGATGAAGGACAGCGACCGCAGACCTGTGGTCAAGAAGATCAAACCTGGTGAGAAGATACTCTACTTCAGTGTTGTCATGTAGTGAACCTGAAGTTTTTGTTCATCACATCGTGATGTTTTAACAATTACCTTTAACAAAGTTAAATATCTTAGCACGGCCCGTGGTTTCGATGGGATTTAAATATGATTTTTTTTTTGAACAACCGTTTCTGTGTGACATGAGAAAAAAGAGACCAGTTTTAAAAAAGTGACTTTTTTTTCTAATTTTTAATTTTCTAAGACAGAAACTAAACAACTAAATGGGAAGTTAGATAGGACTAAATGATGACGATGTAAATGTGTTGGGGCGTAAGTCGTTAGTAGTCATTTACCAGTGGTTCATTTTCATGAAAGCTCAAGGCTGCGTCTCTGGATGATCGTGTAATCCTCTGAGGTTTTGTCGTGAATTAATCTGGTGTTTTGGCCGTTTGTCATTTGCCTGACAGGTATCTCCACTCTGGCCAAGAGCCCGACTCAGGCCAGCGACTACCTCCAGCCTCTCCTCAGCTTCGCCGCAGCTCATGTTCCAAAGAACAAACACAAGGAGACGCCGCTGTACATCCTGTGCACCGCAGGCATGAGGCTGCTGTCAGAGAGGTGCACAGATGTAGCATTTCACCATGTATTTCCTAATGATGTGCAACATGCCGGTTTCACAAGTGGTTTGTCCTCTCTCGTGTATTTATGTAGTGAACAGTCGGCCATTTTGGAAGACCTGATCACTGACCTTCCCCTGGAGTTTGAGTTCCTCTTTTCAAGTTCCCATGCTGAGGTCATCTCTGGCAAACAGGAAGGTGAGAGGAACCTGACGCTGGGTTTTTGCTACTGTTGCTAATGAATTCAAGCTGGCCTGTTTGTGAATGTGTGTGTTTGTTTTTGTTTTTTGTTTTCATTCCTAAGGAGTGTATGCATGGATCGGCATTAACTTTGTGTTAGGACGCTTTGACCACGCAGACGAGGGTGAGTTTGAAGTGGACCACAAATCTGGAACTAACACGAATTAACGAATTAACTTACACGAATGCTTCAAACGCTGTTCTGTTTTGTGAAAAGAAACCGGACGAAAAAAACAGATTCAATATGATGTTGGAGGACGGAGAAATGTTTTATGCCCATGTCTAATGGCCTCACTGTTTATCTGCTCAGAGGACGTTACGGTCGAAGTGACCACTGGGTCTCAGAACCAGCAGTCAATCAGCAGGCGGCGCACAGTGGGAATCATTGACATGGGTGGAGCTTCTCTGCAGATCGCCTACGAGGTGCCAAGTGCCATCTCGTACAAATCACCACAAGAGGTAAAAAAGAGTACTGCAAATAAAATTCTTTTTTAAATTATTTTACATGGATCATTTTCTGACTTTGCAGTCGTTCTCAGGCAGTTTTCCGTCTCGCCGTGGGCTCCTGATGCAGCGGCCTCGTCTGCATATTTGTTTTTTTTATGAACGTCAGTGTGACGCCCTGCTGTGTGTTTCCAGGAGGAGGCAGCAAAGAGTGTCCTCGCCGAGTTCAATCTGGGCTGCGACGTTGACCACACGCAACACGTGTACCGCGTTTATGTGACCACCTTTCTGGGCTTCGGAGGAAACATGGCCAGGCAGAGATACGAGGACCAGCTTTTAAATGTGACACTCAACAAGAACAGGTGAATGTGCGCACACACACACACACACACACACACACACACTCTCTCACTCTATATGACTGTTACCCACAACCCCCGGCCATCGTTTAGTGTGTCTTCCTCGTCCATGTGACTAAAACCTGTCCCCTTGTGTCCAGGTTTCTGACCACGCAGACAGGACTCAGCGAGGACAAACCGTACCTGGACCCTTGTCTTCCCGTGGACCTGTCGGACACAGTCAGCCGGGACAACAACACCATTTACCTCCGAGGTCAGGGAGACTGGACACGGTGTCAGCAGGTTGTACAGCCATTCCTGGGACTTCACAACGGGACCATGTCTCCAGGTGGTGTGTATCAGGTATGACTGAGACACTGAACTCACAGTGTTGTAGCTAAACCCGTTTGTTCCGCTTTTGTTTATCTTGATAACATGATTTAACTGAGGACTTGTGTCATTTTGCTGCTAGCAAGTAAGCCGACGATGACGAGTGACCTGTAAAACTGGTTAAACCTGGTTTATTTGTTTATTTGAGTTCAGCCCCTTCTGATCAGCCATTTACTTAAAAAACTGACATGTAGCTCATCAGGCTACATTTGGTCCGCTGCGGAGGGCCAAAGGGCCACTTATAGCTCAGGAGCCACATGTTGCAAACCCCTGTCCTAGTCTGGTTTCCTGAGTAAAACTGTGCAGTTAAATATAATGTTGTAAATTGTTGTAACATTACATTAATCAACTGTTAAAAAAACGAATAATTACATAGGAATAGAACACAGAGCTGGACGAGTTTAGAACAAATAAGTCAACGTTTGACTTTTTCATTTGTTTCTTCAGGCTCCCATCAACTTCAGCAACAGCGAGTTCTACGGCTTTTCAGAGTTTTATTACTGCATGGAGGACGTGCTACGAATGGGAGGACAGTATGACAGCCAGAAATATTCCCGAGCTGCCAAAGTAAACACCAACACACTCAGCACTCAGGCCCACGGCTCATTTGTCATTGATGTGGCTGAAAACCTTTTTTTTTTTCTTCTTCTCTGGTTTCTTTCTTGACAAGGACTACTGCTCCACCAAGTGGTCAACGCTGAAGCAACGCCTGGACAAGCAGCTCTTTGCTCAACAAGCCGACATTTACAGACTCAAGTGGGTTCACGTCACCAAACTGACATCATCATCACAGACATGTCAGCTTCAGCATGTGACAATTCTTTGAACCATTTTTGAAACCAGCAGTCTGAGTACAAAACATTAAAAAAAAAGGAAATCTTTTTTTTTGCTTTATCTACATTTAAGCAAGTAAGAACAACATAAATATGTTTCGTTTTAAAGACTGTTGTAGATGCAGGGTGTAAACTCCAGGCTCACCGCAGGGGGGAGCTGTTGCATGCCTTTTGCATGAAAATATTTGCAATATTAAAAAAAGGGAAGGACAATTACAATTACGATTATACACACACACATATATATGCGTGCGTATATATGTATAATATATCCATATATACATATGTCTACACACATGTTCATGAATAGAACTTGTTGTTTACTATATAAGTACTTACTAATCAATACCTTCAGTACAGTGAGGTTGTACTGGTGGTCAGTCCTGGTCTGTGACCCTGTCTGACCCGGTCCACTTGTTCTTCTCTGATCCAGGCATCAGTGTTTTAAATCCGCCTGGGTGTTTGAAGTACTGCACTCCGGTTTCCGTTTCCCCACCGACTATCGGAGTCTGAAAACGGCACAGCTGGTTTATGACAAGGAGGTCCAGTGGACCCTGGGGGCCATCCTGTTCAAAACCCGCTTCCTGCCGCTGAGGTAGCTCCGTAATTATCACAAAAACAAACACGCAGCTAGTCAGGATTAGATTTGTTTTCCTCTCTCTCAGGAGAACTTGTCCGCTCCTGCTCTCATCTGTCTGTCTGTGTTCCTCCTGCAGGGACCTGCAGCAGGAAACTCTGCGTCAGAACCACCCCAGCTGGCTGCGCTCCTCTTTCGTCTACAACCACCACCTGTTTTCACTCTGCATCCTGGTGGTGCTGCTCGCCATCCTGCTCTACATCCTGCGCCTGCGGAGGATCCACCAGAGGGAGCAGCGACAGGCCGAGGCCCTGAACCTGCTGTGGGTGGAGGAGGGAGAGGCCCTCCTCCCCTGACACCCACGCCCCCTTTGTCACGTCCTTGTAGCCCACCAACCACACCCAAGAGCCGGTGTGGAGCCGCCCCGGTGTGGTCCGTTGATCTGCCCACGTCTACAGGATGTAAACACGCTGACGGCCTGGAGATCAAACTCCTCCTCCGTCTTTGATGGAGCAGCTTGAAGCTCAGCGCCGGTGTCAGGTTGGAGACGTGTTCTCCTGGTTTTACTTTCTTCTTCTGGGATGAAAAAGAGTGGCCTGTGCGTCACATGATCAAACAGAAACCCTTTCCTTTTTTTTCCCCCCTCAGTCAAATGTGTTTGATGGCAGCAGAGCAACTGAGACTGGATTCTGACAGTAATTGCCACTGACGCAGGAGAAAGTTCAGTGTTTCAGATCCTTCATCACAAAAAGAAAAAAAGAAACCTGATGAAGTCAGAGAGACAAAAGAAAGGTTGGATTCCCTGATATTTTTGGCTTTGATTGTCAGACATCTGTAGAAAACTGTCAGAAAACATTTGAGTTGACGTTTTACAAAGCTACTGAAAAGAAGAGGAACGACGACGAGATCAGCGTACGGAACATTACGGACCGTTGACTCTGTTCACACACCTGTATAAAGTCACATTCCCTGTTTTTTTTAAGCTGTTTCTCTGTTGTGACTCAGTCTGGTGCTGAGTGAACCTTCAACCCTTCACTGGTCTCAGGGCCTGGTGTCAACCTTCGGTGTGAAACCACACCACCAGCGCAGCTACTGTCAGGAGATAGTGTTTCATCGGCGCCCCTGCTGGTCCCTGGTGGAACCATTTATCTCTGCAGAGATCAAGACTCAGATTGTTCTTCCATACTTGAATGCCACCGTTGTCCTGCCACTCTCAACCACCCCCCCCCTCCCCACACACACACCACCTCCACCAGTTCTGATATTAGTCACAGCTGATGACGAGATGTATTTTAACCGAGATGAGACAGACTCAGACCTCCAACAGCTAACTTTAGCTGAAACCAAGAGAACAAATAAGTACAAACAAAAAAGTAGTTTAATGACCACAGTGAAGGGGGCGGGGCCAAAGGACCTTTGTTTAAAACAGGGATTTATATTAACTGTACTGTAAAGCTGTAAATGAAACCACTGTCTTGCCAAGTCATTGTCATGTTTTTTTTTCTGCTGTTATGAAGATGTTAATCTGTTTCTGAGGAGCAGATCCTGAAACTGCAGGAGTTGAATCATGTCAGTCCCAAACTGGGACTTTTTCTTTTTTCTTTTTACTGTTTGTAATTAATATTTATGGACCTTAATCTTAGACAATAACACCGTGGAGAAAACCCGTGGTTAACGTGTCAGTTAAAGGACGTCAGGTTTTAACCCGCTTTTGTCTCAACTTCCTGTCCGACGCTGCCGTTACCTCTCACTCCCTGACCTTTGTCCTCCTGAATGTGGCTTCACAGAAATTTTCCGACCGTCTCGTCTCGGTGGGCGTAGTGCAATGTCGGACATCATTTCCCTGAAAGGAAAACCTGTGATGTTATTATTAACTGAGGAATCTGTGAACGTGAACACAGCTGGATCCAGTCCAGTAAAGTTTTTCAACAAGAGTTTTGACTTTGTCTCGTCTGTCCTACGATCTGAAGACGGTTATTACACACACACACACACTCTCTCTCTCTCACTGTGCCCTTCAGTCTGGTTAAACACCTTTAATTAGACTCACGAGTCTTGTTGTGGAAACAAACTCACCACCAGATCCCTTTAGTGGCCGCTGTGGAGCTGTTGACCGACGCGGATGAGAAAGTCCTTGAAGGACACAGCTGTGCAACCGTCCATCTGTTGAAGATTTACTGATTAAACTAAAACGCTCCAGAGAACCTTCGACGTGTTCATTCAGAGTTTTTTTAGGGAGGAGAGTGGTTTTCCTGCTCGACCTCTGGCAGTTGTGTGTGAGAAACCAGTTCTATTTAATGGAATTCAGAAGAATATTGAATTCGTCATTTTTCTAGAGTTAAAAAAATATTTCTAGCTGACAGGACCTAAACTGTCAACAACAAAACACAATGTCAAAAAAACCCTGAACTGTCCCTTTAACGTCTGAGCACTGACTCTTTACCTGTCCTGCTGGAATAACCTCCTCCTTTCCAAACCTGTGAAGAAAAACAGCAGAGTATTTATTTTAAAAATATACCTTTAATACAACAGCTGCATATAAATATTAAAATATACATTGTACAGGCTTACAGTACACTCACACAAAAACCCAAAACGCAAAAAAATATTAGGCTTCTATTTGTACGGCACTTCTTTTATTTGTGTTTTTCTTTTTTTTTTTTTAAACTATTTTCTTAAAGGTTACGCAGTGACAGAGGACGTGTACACACAGAAGGTTATGGTGTTAACAGGTCCAGAGACTTTACTGAAGTCCTGTGAATTACTGAGAAAAAGAAAAAGAAGAAATGTTCGCTGTACAGTATATGACATGACATTGTGGAATGTTTGTTTTTTTTTTAACTCAATTTTTCCCTTGTCTGTTGTTTTTTTCAGATGTTGAAGAAGAAGAAGGAGGGCGGGAGGGAGGGGTGGCTCGCGGCCCAAAGTCTGACCGTAACAGGAAGGTCGACAGCAAACGACCGACTCGGTTTTGGTTGAAGTCAGAGGAGGCGTTTCAGCCGTTCGTTCATCACCACCAGGGTCATGATGAGGGAACAGAAGGGGGCGGGGTCTAGGGATTTCTGGGTCATTTCCATCACAAAAAATAATCACAGTTCATCACAGTCGTGTGGCTGCAGCAGGACAGGGTCAGCCTCAGTCCGTTGGGTCAGATCTTTGGATGGGTCAACTGTCCACTGGTTGCCCCGCCCTCGCCCGTTGACTGCTGGGAATTTTGTGAGATTTTCTGCTGTATTTATCCCGGTGCTCCACTCCACGACCTGCAGTGAGTGGACACGTCTCCATCCGTTCTAATTTACAGTCGATGGTTCTGTATCCCAGACTGATGCGAGACATTCTACCGGTCTGTAGGAGGCAGCAGAGAACACAGTGTTGGATAAAAAGATTTGGAAATAAACGTCTCAGAGGCACCCCCGCGGCTAAGTGCCTTAACCCCCCCCCCGCCCCCCCCCCCCCCACACCTCCTCGACAGCACAGCGC